AGAGCTACACAGAGCAGAGCTGGCCCCTCAACCATCCCAAAAAGACACTGAATCTCCCGGTGCTTTGCACAAACTCTTCTGGGCATGTGCACAAGTTGCTAGTGTTTTCTCAAACACTTAGCTAAGTGTTCGTGCCAGGGCCCGGGAGAAGCTTCATGTTTGTTGGGGCCATAGGGGAAGATTTGTATTTGGATTTGAGCATATTGCATGAGTTCCTTGTCTGTTACTGCGATAAAACATCACAATCAAAGCAACTCAGAAAGCAAAAGGGTTTACTCTGGGTTAGGGTTACAATGGGACAGAGTCCTCCATGGCAGGGAAACGTGGCAGCAGGAATGTCAGATCAGCCTGGCCGGCAGGACACACAGGAATCACATGCCATTCATGCCCAGGAAGCAGAAAGAGAAATAAGAGAATAAGGCCAAGGCTTACTTTGAGGTAAGCCTCAAAGCGTACCTGACTCCGCCTCCTAAAGGTTTCCTTACCTCCCCCAAACAGCGCCAACAACTGGGAACCAATTCAATACCTTGGCCTATAGGAGACATGTCTCATTCAAATCACCACACACATGAGAGAGCTATGTAAGCAGAGGGATCCGAGAAGCTGGCCTCCCAGGCTCTCGGGTTAGGAGCATTTCTGTTCCTTGGAAGTCTACCTTCCCCTCTGCCCCGCCTCCTCATCCGTGTTGCAAGGGCGGCCGAGGGAAGATGAAGGCTTCACTCCATCATGCCACGATCATCTCACCAAAGTGTACACAGACTGACCAGCATTTGGACTGCTATCTCATGAGAGTGCTGAGCCCAGAGCATCCCTCAATTCCTCCTTCCTGGGCACTGCGAAATAAAAGTATTTCTTGCTGTTTTAAGTCACCAATTTTTAAGAGAAAGGCACGATAACCAATATATAACAAAATCAATACCCATTTTTCACAAGCTTTATATCCGGCTACCTATTCGAATGTCTCATTTCTGTGCTTGAAGGTCTCAAAGACTGATCAAATTCAGCACTTCTGAACTAAACGTACTCGTCCCTCCATGGCCCTCCTCCCCAGCATGTTCCTACTCCTGCCCCTTCCCCACTCCCACCCCTCCCCAACCCCCACACTGAATAGCAGCAGCGACTTCCCATTTACTAAAACTAAACACTCAAACATCACCCTTGCCTCCTCCGTTACCTCCAAATCCTTACCACCAACTGACTCTTCCTGCTAAGCAATGTCTCAAATCCATCCACCTTTCTCCTCCTGCTTCGGAGTCAGACCGTTGTCATCTCTCTCTTATCTTACCACAGTGCCTCTGCTTTTACTTCCCTCTTATCAGGACTGTTTGAATAAGAAAATAAATCAAACCGGTCACCTCCTTCTCTGTGTGAAGCCCTTCCGTGATATCACAATGTCTTTAAAGGAAAGCTCAAGCCCACAGTAGCTGATTTTAAAAAAACAAAACAAAACCAGTCCCATGCTTTGTTTTGTCATGCCCTACCTGGGCACGCTTGCCCACTTCTCCACCTGTTGAACTGTATGAATTCTCTTTATCCCCCTTGGAACAAACACCCTTTCGCCAAGACACATGGCTATCACCAGGCTGACTCTTTCTACTCCTTTGGCTTTCAGCCAAACGGGAACTTTCTCAAGCAAGTCATCCCTGAACAGCATCAGCCTCTGTGACCCTGCTGCAAGTTGGGTTCCTCAAGAAGCAGAGCCCGATACCAGCGGGCAGCATGTACAAGACCGCATAGGGAGAGCCCTTGCTGTCAACACCAGTGGGAGGGAGGAAGCAGGATTAACAGGAAAAAAGGGTAAGCTGTGGTGTAGCCTGGCCCCTCGAGAGGGTTCTGAGTCTAAGTTAAATCTCAGACCCCAAACTGAAACGAGAAGAGTCGCCTTTCTTCACTGTGGCCCCAGTCACTAGATGCTGGCAGCACAGGATGAAGGTAGTCTTCACCGGAACCTGGGGGCTGAAAGCCGCCATTTGTCTCAGCAAGAGGCAATCTCAGCATCTGTGCGGTAGGTTCTCCCTCCTAAAGAGGGCTCTGCGGCATCTCCTGGAGATGCAGTTGTTTGGTCCTGTGCAGCTGGTGCTCGCACCTCCTTGTAATGGCAGAAGTCTAGGCTGCGAGTTCAGTCTGCATTTTTTCCCCCTCTCTCTAGCCTCCGCACCTAACACAGCCTGGAATACAGTAATTGTTCGGTAAGTCTGTTGCATGAATTTTATGGACCACAAGTGACCACCAGAGACGTTAGCTCCCACCAGAATCATGACTGTGTGACCCTCCAGAGGAGGGGGTGTTAGAAACGTGAAGAAGCAAGGGTGGGCACAGGCCACGCCCACTGGGTAAGCGCTCCGCTGCCGGAAATGCAGAGCTGGAGCAAACAGATGCCCCAGAGGGATATTTTTTTTCTTCCTTATTTTATTCACACTTATTAAATTTTAAACAGGCCTCAAAGATTCCAGCCTAACACGGAAATCAAACACCACCAAACAAAGGGCTTGTTTTCTATTAATATGGTAGAGCAGACGGTCCTGCTGCTGCAAAGCTGTGAATTATGACGGAAATTAACTGTCTGGCTGCTCTATGTGCATCCTGAACTGCACGACAGTGGCTCCAGCTGGGCCCAGCACTCCTCACAGAGGTCGAGAGTCCAATGCCCTGGAGTCTGAGCTGCCTGCAAATGCACTCCCATACATGGCCCTTAGATAGATGTTGGCTGCCCAGGGAAGCCAACTGGGTCAAGAGACTGTGCCCAGAACAGCTGATTGCCAGTATAAGTTTCCTGGTGCCAGCTACATGCCCTGGAGAATGGAGAGCCAGATAGAGTTCTTAAAGAATTTTCTATGAGAGGCCAAAGAGGTGGCTCAGTAAGTAAAGAGCTTGCTGTACAAACATGAAGACTTGTGTTCAGATCCCTTGCTGGATGTGGCACCATACCCTATAAGCACAGCACTAAGTGGCAGAGGGTAGTAGAGACAGACAGGTTCCCTGAGGCTCTCTGGCCAACCAGTCTAGCTGGAACAGTGAGCTCCAGGCTCAGCAAAAGACCTCATTTCAAAATAATAATAATAATAATGCAGAGAGTGATAGGAGAAGGCACACAGCATTGCCCTCTGACCTCCATATGTGCATGCTTGGACACACACATTTGTATATACATGTACACATGTGCATACAACACACATACAAACTACCACCACCACTAACAACAACAGAGAATATCAATGAAAACATAAATGCTCTCTGAACAGAGAGCCCCTAAAAGAGAGTAAGGGATGCTCTACCAGGATGTCCCAGATTCATTAGTACCTACCCTCAACCTTCCCTTCCTCAGCTGCACCCTAGCCCTGGATAGGAGGTCTTCAAAGCAGCCTTTTAGACAGACTTTCTTGAGGAAGTATGAAAGTAAGTTGGGCAGGCAGACTGTGTTTTTTGTATCTTTGTGTTTGTTGCTTTTAGATAGGGTGTCATAGAGCCCAGGCTAGCTTCCAACTCACTACGTAGCCATGGCTAGCCTTGTGATCAGTTACGGGTATAATAGTGCGCATGCCTGTATGTTTGCTTATGTTTGCTCGTGTATATAATAGTATGCCAGTGTGTTTCCATATGTACCAATGTGTGCACTTACTTGCTGTTGTAAGTGTGCTTGTGTTTATGTGCTGATGCATGGCCTACCATATGTCTATACATGTCGATGTTGTATGATGCTTGTGATTGAGGGTCGGCGCGCGGATGGTTTTCACCCTGCTACAAAAACCCGAGGGAAACAGCTGTAGAAGGTAAAGGGGAAGTTTCTATTCATTGTCCCAGAGGCTTGAGTTAGGATTAGATGGTTCCATCATTATGGGTCTGAACATCAAGGAAGGGTAGATGAAGTCGAGGTCAATTGAAGAAACACAGACAGAAAGTGGGCAGAGACAAAATAATCTTTCCAGGCGATAGCCCAGGGACCTGCTTTCTGCAGCTGGTCCCACCTCTGCCTTTTTCACCAGTTTTGAAAGTAGTGCCACCAGATGGGGGATCAGACTATAAACATGGGAACCTTTGGGGGACACTCCAAATCAAAAACCTAACAGTGTGTGTTCATGTTTGCTTGTGTGTGTGTGTGTGTGCTAGTTTGCATGCTTGTGTTTGTGCACTAGCATGTACTCGTATGTATGTTCCGTGTATGTGTGTTTGTGCACCTGTTCATGCTTCTTCAGGAAAGGTAGTGTGCTTTCATACGACCTTCCTTCTCCCATTCAGCCCAAGCTGAGAAACTTCGCCTCCTGTTATTTCTGACTAACAAGTTTTGCCATCCCCAATGAGGTGGCATGTGACAGTCGGAGGTGCTTCAAATGCAGGAGCCTCAATGTCCCCATATGCAGAAAGTTAGCTAATTCTGCAACTGGACTGATTGGATTGTACCCCACTCCCCGATGCATTTCCAAACATAAAATGCGGCATCTATACATCTTAGCAAAACAGAACAGTTCCCTGCTACCGTTTACACACCACAACACCACCATTTACATACTACACTACCATTTACACACTACAGTATTACCATTTATACACAACACTATCGTTTACACACCACAATACTCATTTACACACTACAACACTACCATTTACACACTACAATACTACCATTTTACACACTACAATACTACCATTTATACACTACAACATACACCTAAAACCAGTTGCTTTTTCTTCTGCCATTTTCTCAAAGTTGGCTCAATATTTACTATGTATCAGTGTGAGAAGTTTTCTGCTGGGCCCAAAGAACATGCAAAGGTAGGGACCCATCCGCCTGCTCTTGAAGTACTTCTAAGGAGATGGGGCATGCTGGCTCAAAAGGGTGAGGACATTTGGGGTCAACCTAACCTAAAAAGAAAAAATAAGAAAAAAAAAACAGAACAAGGTTAATGGCTGCTAGTGGTGGAAGGAGAGACTCACTTGTAACAGAGTTGAGAGAACTTGTATCCTTTTTTATTGTTAAGGTTAGCACATAAAGTAACAGATTAATGATGGCATTTTCAAGCATATGCGTCCTTCCCCTTCCTTCTCCCTCCCACAACCTGCTCTTTCCCACCAGGAACACCTGAGGTTAGAGCCTGGTCATACCACTCACCAGCTGAGTAATAAGCCAAGTCCTTTAACCTGTGTGCCTTTAATTGAGCACTAAACTAATCGAGGTGGCCACAGAGACCAGATCAGCTAACCCTGGCGAAGAACCACATCCCGCACACAATGGCAGCAGTGAATGTTAATTCATTCATTCCAGATATCTCACTAAATTGTCTTGGCATTAACTCCACGCCTCGCTTCTGATTTGTTGCTGGGCTAGCAGCTGAAGGAGGCAGGAGGAGGGCAGAGTCTGGACAATGCAAAGCAGACTTGGTCACAGAGCCCAACAAGGGTCGACTTCCACTTCCTTTGCTCGACGTTCTTCTCCCTGGAGTAGATGAAATGGAATTTAAAAGAAAATGAGTCAACATCCAGATCAGAAAAGGCATACGTGTGTGTGTGTGTGTGTGTGTGTGTGTGTGTGTGTGTGTGTGGTGTGTGGTGTGGGTGTGATGTGTGGGTGTGTGTGTGTGGGTGTGTGTGTGTGTGTGTGTGGTGTGTGTGTGTATGTGGTGTGTACACCTCTTTGTAAAGAAGGTTGTTGCCATGGAGATGAAACAGCGAAACAGCAAAGACAGAACCACTGAAATGGCTATAATTAATTTAAGTATTAAAAACAATTAAAATTGTATTAAAGAAAGTTCATTTGAACAAGGCATAAATTGGGTGAGTGGATCACATGAAGCATGAACAAAATAGAAGCATTGCTTTGGGGTGTTGGAACAGACACTCTGTCTGTCTTCAAAGACGAGAGATAAATTATTGCTCAGTATTCAGGCACACTAAAATATGTAACCTAATTTAGCTAATGTTTCTAAGAGCAAGGCAGTTCTCCAACACTTCTGTTTCCTCTGGCCCTGGTGCCAGGCTGAAATACACAGCAGGGGAGGAAACACACTTCTTATCAGGTGAGTGTGCCAGGGTTTCCTTCCCTTGTCACTCACTGTGGCCACAAACCACTCGTCCACAAAGATGGAGGGATGAGTATCAGGGCTGCACACTGTGGAGCATTCAGAGTCCCCAGCACTTGTCACCCTTCATGTCATTTAATACTATCACAAATGCCATAAGAGAAGTGTGGGGGCAAGAGGGCGCTGTGCTCCCAACACGAAACTCAGAAACACTCATAACTCATGAAAAAACCCACAGCTAAAGCACATGAACTCAGACCTGCTCCTGACTTGGTTCTAAGTTCCTGCCCTTACCTCCACACCATCCTACTGCTATTTCATTTAGATATTCTAGGGGTGCTTATGCAAACATGCTGGGGAACAGTGGGTCTCTTGTGTTTCTTCTATTCTTGCTCATGGCAGAGAACAAAACCGTGAAATCAGACAACGTGTTTGACCACCCACAATACAACATACCATGGGATTGGCATTTGGATTGATCCTTGCCACTGACATCCATTTCCTACCAAATGAAACATCAGCTCTTGCATGGTGTCACTTGCTGAAAGGCACAGGCATCTCCAAGATCTAGCTAATTCATCTTTCTTTTATTATTGTGTGTTTATGTGTTTTTGTGTATGCATGTGTGCATGGATGTGGAAGGCAGATAGATGTTGATGTCAGATGCCTTGATTGATCAGTGTGTGTATGTGTGTATGTGATATGAGTATACACACATATATATATGAGTGTGGGCACACACATGACATCAGAAGACAACCTCAGATGTAGGTCCTCATCTTCCACCTTGTTTGAAACAAGGTGTCTTCTTACTCACTACTACATATGCTAGGCTATCTGACTGTGGTGGTTTGACTAGGTATGGCTCCATGCACTCATGTGTTTGAATGCTTGGTCCATAGGGTATGGCACTATTCGGAGGTGTGGCCTTTGGAGGAAATATGTCACTATGGGAGTGGCCTTTGAGGTCTCATATGCTCAAGCTACACTCAGTACTCAGTCTCTCCTTCTGCTGCCTTTGGATCAAGATGTAGAACTCTCAGTTATCTCAACCAGCACCACCTCTGCCTGTACACCACTATGTCCTGCCATGATGATAATGGACTAGCCCTCTAAACTGTAAATCAGCCCCAATTAAATATTTTCCTTTAAAAGAGTTGCCGTGGTCATGATGTCTGTTCACAGCAAAAGAAATTCTAACTAAGACATTGGCCTTCTAACTTTGGAGTGTTCTCCTGTCTCTACCTTTCATCTCATTGTAGGAGCACTGGAATTATACATGTGCACTGTGGCTTTACATGAGTCCTGAGAATTTAAAATCAGATTCTAACATATATGTATCAAGCACTAAACCATCTCCCCAGTCCTCCATATTTTTTAGACGCAGTGTTCCTTACTGAACCTGAAGCTTGTAGATTGAGCTAATCAAGCCCCAGGGATCCTCTATTCACCACTTCCAGATCACTGAAATTACAAAGAATACACCCAGCTTTTCTTATATGGATTCAAGGGAATCAAGCTCAGTTTCTCATGCTTTATAGAAAGCACCTTACTCACTGAGCTGTCTCCCCAGCTTCATCTAACTCTATATCACATGACCCTATATGGGCTACCTTCCCCTGAACCCCAGAGCACAGAGGTCAACTGTTGGCACATCCTGCCCTAGACTGAGTAGCATTTTGGCAATGGGGATCAGTTGAAGGGAGGCTAGATATTTTGCTAAGAAAACTGAGGATAAGGTTCTGCAAAACGGAGAGCCTATCCTTGTCCATGAGACAACATGAACCTGGACATTTGCAGCCCAGGTTGACAGCACTCAGCGCCAGGACAGACACAGAGACTTTCTGCTTGAGGACAGGGGAGAGCTCAGTGGGCAGAGGAGGTCAGAAGGTCCACAGGAGGTTGATCAGGTGAACAAGGAGCCAGGAAGACAAATCACAGGAGGCCGAGCTGAAGTGGGAATACAAACGCTGGTGTCTTTATTGACTCTGTGTCTTCCAATTCATCCAGGGAGCTGGATAGGAGAGGCACGTTCCATCAGCTTCTCCAGCACCCCACCAGCACCGTGGCCAGCTTCGACCCATAAGCAGGTAGGTAACTGAACTTCTCGCTTTGTGAAATGCATATGCTAAAGACTTAGCAAAACCCTTAACACACCTTCAATCTTGACCATAACCATGAGACAGACCCATGAGATGATCTTGATTTTAACAGCAAAGGTTTTCAGGGACCTAAACAATAGTCTGAAGGAAGCAATCGCAAGAAATGGGGAGAGGAAGTTGGCATGAGCGCAGGTAAGAACCAAGAAGATAAATGGCGGCATCTGCTCTCGCGATTCTCAAGGAACTACGCTTGGGTGTAGGGTTTCTGTGGGTCATAGATGAAAATGCCAGCCCGTGAGCTGCCAAGGAAGAGGCCATCTGACTCAAGGTTTAATTAGCTCACTCCCTGGATACATTCAATACAGATGGCCAGGCTCCAAAGATGGATTTATCGATCACATGAAAACGCAGGGGTTTGAGGGAGGCCTCAGCGGCAAACAGAGCAGCTCTTTGCCGGCAGTGTCATAAGCCAATGAGAGGATAACGAACGCCCTTCCCCTCCTGACAAGGAAAGTAAAAGATTTATCTGAGCAACGTGCCTCTCTAGAAATACTTACTCCACCATGTAATTCATTAGTGTACACAAATATGGTATGATAGAAATATGCACTCTGTGTTACAGTTTCCAGAAAGATAATTTCCAAGGTCTTGAGAGAAAGCAAGCCACCCACCACAGAGCAGCCTGGGCTAGGAGACACACAGAAACAGGAATAGGTTAGAGATCAAGAGGCAGGAGATGAGCTGCTTGGGCCCATAAGGGTCCCTTAGTCGTTCAGCAATAGTGTAGAGTCATGTCAACACACCAGGCTCTATTGCAGGTCCCACCGAGGCAGAACTCTGTCTGCCTCCCACATTGACAAACCACATGATTATCCCCTACACACCTTCCTTGAGAACGGACGACGGACCCTGAAAGACCCCTGAGCCTGCAGGAAAAGTCACATACTTGGCACTAGAAGATGCCTCAAGCCTAAACTCTGCCACCTACCAACTCAATGACACTGTGGAAGTCTCTGCCTCACTGAACTTCAGTTTCGCCTATTGGTAAAATAGAAACTTTGGGTCCTTGAATTAGCTACTTCCTTCATCACCAGGACAAGAACACCTGATAAGACTTAAGGGAGGAAGGATTTGGTTGCGGTGGTGATTCTGTTTGTTTAGCTTTTGTTTTTTTGGTTTGGCTTGGTTTCGTTTGGTGTTTTGTTTTATTAGTTTTATTAGTTTTTGTTTTGTTTTGTTTGCCTTGTAGTTTGAGGGTATAATCTATCAAGATGAAAGAGACATAGCAACAGGAGGATGAGGTCACACTGCATCTGTAGTCAGGAAGCTTTCTCCGTTTCTCTAGCCCATGGGAGAGTGCCACCCACACTCAGGATGGGTGGTCCTACCTCATTTTCGCCTCTCTGGAAATGCCCTCACAAACACACCAAGAAGTCTCCTGGGTGGTTTCAAACTCCATCAGGTTGACAATCACAGTCTTCATGCTGTTACCATTTAAATAACATTACAACACATAGCAGGATCTTATCGTTAGCTCCTATGGGGTTAACAGCATCCTGGTTCCTACAGTACAGTTATGAGAATTTGGGAGGATTTTGTTTTCTCCTTCCAAGATCAAGTGTAGATTCCCTAGGAAGGACAGGAGATTCTAGATGTCACAACCCAATTTATTCATACCCGAGAGACAGTGAGGGGAAGGCTACTGGGAACAGATAAGAAGTTGGGGCTCTGGAGTGGCAAATGATGTGGGTCCTTCCTAGGTCTGTAAAGGGGAAGATGCTCTCAGTTCTCAGGTATAGACAAACCACAATAAATGGTCAGGCCCACAACACAACTTACACCCCACAGAGTGCTTCATGTGAGTCCTAGAAGAACCCTCCAGGTAGCTGTTACCACTGTCCCCAAGGCTTGGTTACACTAATCAGCAACAGATCTGAGTTTAGATGCAGCCTAACTCTCAACCACTTCCCAACAGAAATGCAGTATGAGCCAGAATTGTGACTTCTAACTGCCTGGCAGCCGCATCTTTAACAGTAAGAGACAAGTACAATTGACTTCATCTCCCTGTTCAGTTTTCATTAATTGATTCTGTGAGTGTGAGTGCGTGTGTACCATGGTGCATGTAAAGAGGTCAAAAGACAACTTCTCAAGTGTTGTCTCTTACCTCCCCATTTGTTTGAGGCAGGGTCTCTCTTACTGTTTCTACCACTGCGCAATCTATTCCGGTCTGGTGGGCGGTCAGTGTCTGGCCATTCTCCAGTCTCTACCTCACATCTCATCGTACAAGTGCTAGGGTTACAGGCGTGTGCCACTGT